AGGAACTTACTTGCTGGGGGAAGAGGTGGCAGGCTAAGTGGGAGGGCGGAGCCTCGGCTGGTGCCTTCCTGCGGAGTCCTGCGCGGCGCAACCCAGTCCTGTGACGAGCCCATTCACGAGGGCAGAGTGCCAGCAGCCTGGCTGTCCCTTTAAGGTCCTCCCTCTCCACACTGTCACCAGGGGATTATTTCTAGCATGGACTTTGCAGGATACGGCGCCCCCTCGGTGAAAGGGGAGCGGCTGAGGAGGCTCGTCCTTCACATTTGTTTGTTTATTTTTTATTCATCATTGTTCTTTGACAAAACTAACTTATAAATGTTAAATAATTAGGAACTGGTGTCATATCATTTAGTAAGGCATACACTAGAAATAACACACGGTAGTTTTAAACTAACTAAACATATGGCCTCTAGGTGATGTACCCTATTAGTATCCTATTATCTTAATGCCTAATTTCTTCAAGACAAAAAATAAAGCCAGTTTTTATATTTATATTTTTAAAATTTTTAAAAATCTTTTTTTTTCCATTTTATGTATTTGGTAGAGGATCTCACTATGCAGCTTGGACTCCTAGTGATCCTCCTGTTTTCAGCCTCCCTCAGTGCTAGGGTTACAGGTGTGTGCCAGTTTCAGGGAGGCATGGTGCGCTGGGGGTTGCAGGGCTGACACACCATGCAGTACTGGGAATCGAGCCTGGGGCCTTGTGCTTGCCAGGCAGGTGCTCAGACCACCGTGCTATCTCCCCAGCACACCCTCCACTTTTTTTAAAGCCAGTTTTTAAAGCTTGACATTTGTAATACGTCAGGGAGGAACACAGGACAAAATGGGGTCTGGGAAGAGTCCAGCTCGAGAGGTAGGACGTTGCTGCCACTGTTTCCTTATGCTCTGCTGGAGGGCGAGCTCTGACAGGCGGGCTTCTGGCAAGTAACTCGACAGGAAAGGGAGATCCCCGTGCTCAGTGGTGGGCGCGGAAGAGTCTCAGCAGCACCCTGGGCCCTGCACTCCCTCACCCAGACAGCAGCCTCTAGCGTCCTTGCCTGCTTTGGCTCTCGCTGCTGTTGTCCACTTTGGTTCCTTTGCACATCGTTGGAACCAGGCCCTTCTGACAACCGTAGCTGTAGCGCCTGGTCGGCCCCCGCCTCACCGCTCTGAGTTCCGCTACGCTCTGCCCTCCCACGCGAACCCTCTCTTGGCACAGTCCCATTGCTGCATTTTCCAACACTGGACAATTCCCATCACCTTTGGTGTTGGGAGTGGCTGAAGCTGGAAGTTGGTCATATGTGAGAGGGCAGACAGGGCCACAGTGCCCAAAGCAATCAAGCCACCTTGAGAGTCATGAGAAAAGCATCCCGCCTGGACAATTTCAGTCACTAGTTGCTAGGCAACCTTTTGTCTTATGATACTAACCTTGCAAGACTACAAATAATGCCCCTGCTGTTGTTGTTCGGTCCTCTCGGCTCTTACCCCTTCTTCATTTTCTAAATTCCCTCATCATTCACTCCCAGGAACCCCCAAGAAAGTAACAAGTCCCATACTTTGGAGTTGCACAGACCTTCTTCACACTGGCATTTCTGATTCCCCCTTAGTTGGATTGGCTCGGCCTCCCCTTCCAACCTCGCCTGTCCACTCCTTGCCCATGCTGTGTGCCACCACTCTCCACCTAAGCTCTTCTCTTTCCTATGCCCGTGCTGCCCTTGGCTGCCCAATACACCATCCCATAAGCCGACGCTCCAGTGATGCCCACAGTAGGAAGTAGCTCTCCATGGTTCTCAGTTCTCTTATGGTTTGTCTTGTCTCCTGTGTTTATTTTTGTGTGTAGTGAATATACCTGTGCCCGTGTTGTTAACCTCTGGGACGCAGGCCGTGCATCCAAGCCTCAGCTGCACATTACTGACAGCTATGCCCAATACCTTACTCTAGGAGACACCCAGTAGGTAGTGACTCACTCATCCAACAATTACCTACGAGTTTTGAGTAAATCAGTGAATGAATAGATGTAAGGTTAGAAGACAAGATAGGAAATCAGGTGCTGTCTTAACAAAGATGGCAAAGAACACAAATAGGGACAACCAAGAAGCACGGCAGAGGTTGAAGTAGATGGGGACCCAGGCCACCCATGGGAAGACTAGGAGTGGGTTCTATTTCTCCGCTGTATCCTTTCAAAAGCCAAGCTGTTGCATGAACTGTGACATATGTCATTGACACAACTCTTTGTAGAAAAATCTTAATATCCAAGAGCGTGCACTGGCCAAAGAAAGCTGGCAGGAGTAAAGGCTTCTAGTCTCAGAACAGTGGTAACAAACCATGACACATTATTATTGTATTATTTTTAAATTTTGATAGGTAGGAATTAGTATTCAAAAAATTCTGTGGATTCACTGTCTGATAAATGACAGTGAATTACCTGTTACCTCACAAAATATAAAATTACTTTCTCCCACCTCCCTCTCAGTGAACTTTATTTCTTACTTTCCAGGAATGGAGGCAAATGTCAGTGAGATAGTAAGTAGTCAATCACTTGATGAAACCACGCCCCCAGGTCCCCAAGAACTGGATGTGCCTGCACTTTTCAGAAACATGCCTGCCGCCACGGCAGAGTCTAACTATACTCAGATGGCTCAGCAAGGGAAGTCAGTCATGCGGTACCCACCGGGCCATATGTGGACAGATATCCTTTTCCCTGGTCTACTTAAGCACCAGTAGATAGTCTTACAAGTCTGAGTGTCTTTCTGGTTGCCCCTTTTTTTTTTTTTTTTTTTTTGCGCCAAATGCCTTCAAGGCATGACTGGCTGTATTGTGTTGTGGGGATCGAACCCAAGCAACCTGCGCCTGACTGTGTTGTTGAAGCAGCCACCTAAAGAACTGAGCTACCGGGCAGGCCCCTCTGGTTGCCCTTTAAGGAGATTTTAGTTCTAGTCAATCAACAGTTGATCAATGATACTCACGCGGCTCCAGATACTGACAGGAGGCAAGAAGCGCCCTGCCAGCGCCTCGGTCGTGTGGGCTCTCTCTCGGCTTCTTCAGTTTAGCAAGAACTTCATGGTTTTCTAGATACATTAAAACATTTAAAAGATAACTCCCTTAATGCCGGGCATGTGGTAGGAATCTAACATATGGTTATTGAATAAATATAGGGTATTTTTTTTAATCACTCCATGTGTCAGATTAAGTCTCACGTTTTGCCGAGTCTAATAGACCAAGAACCTTGAGGAATTAGGGTGTTGGAATTCTTCTCACCTTCTTCTCCCCGACAGTGCCTGGGTCCAGGCTCTGTGAACAGGACTCACGCATGCAGGAACGGGCTGCTACGGCACCCCCAGCTAATCAACAGCACCCCCAGCTAATTAACTTTTAAATCTAGCCATCGAAAGTGTGACTCTCCCTGAATGCGGAGAACAGCAGTATTATTGGAACTCAAGGAGAGAGAAAAAAATTCCCATGTTTATTTTGAGGGTTGCTTAGCAATGATTTTAAAGTCATAGTTATAGTTGAATAATTGTCCCTAGCAAGCAGATTCTTTTATCATAAATAAATGACACACCATGATAGTGCCGGTGACTGGGAACACCCCACTGTTCAGAGGGCTGCAGTTAGCACTTCGGTCGTCATTAGCACTTGGCCCAGTCTGTTTTGATATTGCCTACTTTCTGCCTATTCAAAGCTATGAGTAAATTTTGATAACACTTTGGGAGGGGAAGGAGGGCTTGGGAGTCAGCAGAACACTGGCAAGGCCGCTTAGCGGGGGAGGACTTTGGCCTGGTTACTCAACTCTCAGAACTTTACTTTTCTTGGCTATAAAATGAAGATAACAATGGTACACACCTCTTAGAGTTGCCGGAGGGACTATGTGACACAGTGTATGGAGAGTATGTGGCTAATGATGGGCCTTAGAGAACGGAGGTTACAGTCTCCTTCTTCCCTAGGATTAATAATCCAAACAGTGCTTATGGTGGCAACTTAACATTTGCTAGGTAGCAAACCGCTTCCCCTCTCTGGGCGGGAGACCCGGTGTGGCCCGTGCTTGCTTACCGCCCCAGCTCCCGGCCCTCCTGTGGTGCTTTGGATCTGGAACGTCCAGCAGAGTTTAATGCTGGAGGCTGGGTCACTAGTTGATGGGCTTTTGGAAAGTGACTGGCTCATGTGGCTCTAACTTTGTCAGTGGATTAATCTACTGATAGCTTCATAATTAAGGACATTTGTGGAAGCTGAGAGAAGGCTGGGACCAGTTGAAGGTAGTAGATCCAGGAGCCTTGCCCCTGGGAGTTGTATCTTCTCCCCAGTCCCTTCTTCTCTGGCTCCCTCACCCTCTGGGCCTCCTGGCAGGATGTGCTTGGAGCCATGGGGCATCTGGCAGCCCACATCTCCTGAGGGGTTTGAAGCTGTACAGTCACTTAACACAAGAAGGTCCTTTCTCTGCCTCAGTGGCCTCTCTGTCCATTATTAGGTGGCTAAATGCAAAGGAGTAATCGCCAAAGGGTTGCTTTTGGGACCTGTCACATATTCAGTGCCTCATTTTAGAAGGGAGCCCATTCCACAGTCGGTCAGCCTTTTCTGTCGTGAACCTCTCTCTCGTGCACTGGTCTGCTGACTCCTTTTCTCCAGTTGGATCTGACCTGGCAGGGAGATCGATCTTGAATATGACTTCTGCCCTCTTTGTGCCCAGTGTGCAGGTCCCTGATCCCATCCCTGTGCCTCAGTACCCCGTGAGTACACACCCCGGGCTCCAGCACCTGCAGCACCAAGCAGGGCAAGTTCAAGCTGTGGGAATCCTCCGGCTGGAAGGGAAACAACCACCAGGGCACTTCCCATGTGCAGGCCCTTTGTTCCCTTTTCCCCACTTGTCTATAAATGGTTAATCTAGGTCAGCAGGAGAGGTTTTCTGCCTCCTATAAAGTTTGATTCCTGGAGGCAGATTTTTTTTTTTAAATCCAGCAAGTGTCAGATAATTGGAAGGGTGGAGTAACGCTGTAAACCACAACACAGCTTTGTCGGGACTTGCTGGGAGCAAAAAGAAACAAGGTGGAGAGACAAGTGAACATTTTTGGAGGATCACTCAGCTTCAGCACACCTTGGCTGGGGCTGGATAAAAAAAGTTTGCTTCTGTGAACCTGCAGAAGCAAACACCAAAGGAAGAAGAGAGGGGGATCTGGTAAAAGCTGCTCCCAGTTCAGTCAAAATCGCAGGCCAGGTGAGTAGCAGGAAGACTGACCTTCCTGCCTTTTTCTGAGACTTTGATTTCGAGGCTTGAGATGTAGAAATCAAATTTTTATTCGAGAACATAAATAAGATGAAGTTCTTTGTTTTTAGAGTTCTTCTACTTAAAGTGCTGAATTGGCCATAAATGAGGGCTGTGGTGTATGTGTTTTTGCATAGGACAAGACTTTCAAAGGACTAGCTAGGGGTGGAAAAAAAAATGAAGCCAGTTATGATGTTCTGGGTCCTAGGGGCAGATTTTTCTGTATTATTCTCGCTATTGTAGAGTGACTTATAGCAAAGTAGTTTATGTAGACTCTGATAAGGACTGTGATTCTGTCTCTCTCCACCTCAGTTTCCTCTCTCACTGTCTGGCTCTCCCCGCTAGACAGCAGAGAAGGGTCTGGATAGGTGAGGAGCAGATGGGGGCCTCCTGGGAAGCCCCCCCCCCCCCGTGGGGAGCAGGCATAACATTGCTGCTGTTTGTGTTGTAAATTTGTTACTGCCCCTAATCTAAAGCAAAGTGAAATCTCTGAAGGGGTCCAATTGATCCACAAGTTTCCTAGAGCCAACCTCAGAGGGAACAAAAAAGAAAAAGAAAAAGAAAGAATATTTTTGGGCCGGGAGAAAGCTTAGTAGAATAAGCTCTTGCCTGGCAAGCTCAGGGACCTGAGTTCATATCCCAGTACTGAAAAAAAAAAAAAAAAAGAAAGAGAAAAAGAAAGAAATTTTTTTTCTTATACTTATTCTCACCTGTCAGGTCAGCCTCCCTTCCCCCCTAAAAAATCACTTTGGGATGAGAATTACTACCCATCGGCCCAGACCACAGTAACTGCAAACTAACAAATTATCACTTCACTTGTTGAAGCGAGGGCAGACCTCTGGCGCCTCGCTGCTGCTGGGAGCAGTTGCAGGGAGTATGAAAGTCGGATTTGCTATGTCCGCACAAACGGAGAGATATTTGTAAAGGCACTGGTTTGAGAAGCAGAATGGCTTCTTCTCCGCTCTGCGTGTTCCATCTGGCAGCCCGGGGGCAGCTCTACTGAGTCAGAACCGCCCAGCACCTGTGTCCCGCCGCTGGGGCCCTGGGGAGGCAGACGCCCGTTTTGCGCGTGGGCCCTGTGAAGCCTGTGCTCAAATCTGATGGGGGCTTGTTTGCCTGGGATGATTAAAGTGGGCTCCCTGGCTCCAGCTGGCATAGAAACTCCTTCAGCTGGTGAAGCTAACCAGGCTCGGAACTACCCACGCTCCTACATTAGGCCCAACCCAGAGAAGCCTGTGCCTACATGGAGCTGGTCATTGGACATCAGTAACGGCGGCAAGCTCAACCCTGGACAGCCCAGCAGGCACCCCTCCCGCACGCCTGTGAGGCTGAAAACCCAGGGGGTCGGATAAAGCAAGTGGCGAACACGCAACTTCAGCACTGCCTCCCCAGGCACGGGTTTCCCGGGGATCAAGCTGTTCCTCCCTTATATGTTACCAGGACAATGGGCAGTTTTCTCAAGTATGTTTTGTTTTTAAATTTTCAAGTGTACAGAGATTGGAGTAATAGAGGTTGTAAAATACTGAATAGCTATTATTCCTTAGCGATATAAAAACATTTGTTCCTAAAATTAGAAACCAGATGCTTAGCATCCTTACTGTCCCACTCCCCCACCCCCGCAACAAGAACCAAGTGTCTCTCATGTCAGGAGACTGAGATAAGGTCCTTGTGGCAGGGGCTGGCGCTATTTGGGGGCTAGATTTTGTCACTATCTGAATAGTTTTAGGCAGATGTGACATCATTTAAACATCAGGGAAAGGACAAAGGAGCGATTGAAATGTGCTTCCTTGCGACAAACATGACGTGGTGGGATCACTCCTACATCTTCAAGAAGACACTGGCGACCCGCTGACCCCAGCGGCCCCTGAGGAAGCACGAGCCAGCCCGCTCTCACTCTTACGTGGACGCCGAGACGTGGAAGTGTTGTTGCCAGAGACAAGACATCAGGAGCCAGAACAACCTGTAAGGCCCTGTCTCGGATGAAGAGGAAGAATAAGCCGGCGCCAGACGGGCAACAGCTCGCTGTGTATTTCATAAGGAGCTGGAAGAAGGGAGCTCACAGGCTCCAAACACTAAAGAACACTAAATGTTTCTGAGAGGCTGAGGCAAGAGGATCGTAGGTTCAGGCCCAGCCTGGGAAATTTCACAACCTCGCAAGACCCTGTGTCAGATGAAGAGGCAGTTCAGTGCAGAGGGAGGGCTCCACCCCAGTACCAAACACGCACACGATAAAGGACAAATGCGTAAGGTGACAGAAATGCTAATTACTGTGGTTTGGTTGTTACATGTACCCATGTATCAAACTATCATGCTAGAGCTCATAAGTACGAAGCATTATGTGTCTATTAAAAATAAATTTTAATCTGAGCATGACAGCACACGCCTATAATCTCAGCCCTTGGGAGGCTGAGACAGAAAGATCACCATGAGTTTGGGGTCAGCTTGGGCTGCACAGTGAGTTCAAGCATAGCATGAACTACACAGCAAGGCCCAGTCTCAAAAAGAAAAGTAAATAGTGCTGGAGAGGTAGTTTGGCTGTCTAAACCCCTGCCTGGCAACCACAAGGACCTGGGTTCAATCCTCGGTACTGCATGCAGTGCTGGTGACCAAGACCAGGTGTGGTGGTGCATGCCTGTAATCCCAGCGCTGGGGAGGTTGATACAGGAGGATCACTATAAGTACGAGACCCTGTACCAAATAAATAATTTAAAAAGTAATTAAATATATGTAAGAAAGCACTATAGGTGTAAATCAGTATAATTTTGGAATTGAGAACTTGAATTATTTGCTCATCCTAGTGCCGGTAAAGTAACCCCAATGTCCAGGAATTTAAAACCCGTGCTCTGCCACAGAGCTTCCATTGTGTGGTGCTTCTGGGAGATGAGCTCAGGTGAGGCCCACCAGGAGAGGCAGGCTCAGGCAAGCACGCAGGCAGATTTTCCTTTCCCTGACGTTACGCTTCAAAAACCCCAGCACTCCTGTGTTTTGTACCGGAGTCCTACAGGTCCCCTAAGATGATCCTGATCCCGACTTGTACCATCCCCCACTCCTTTCCATTAAATGTCTCACAGACAGACCCCTCCTACTGGGGAGTAAAGAACCTGTCACCCAGCACATCCCTGCCTCCTCGACTATGGACTGGCAGGGAGCTCCGCAGGCCTTTGCAGGCCACGGGACACGCGGCTGTTTGAATGACTTCAGAAGGAGGAAAGGGCAGCCCCCGTGAGCCTGCTGCGGCAGGCGCTGTTCGCGGGCGCCTCTCACGAGGCGCCTCCCTCTGGAGTGCTCCCAGGCCCTGAGTGGGCACCTGATTTCTCAGCAGGCTGTTTCTTTGTCTCCTGCAAATTAGGGAACCCTGGGCTCTTTGCTCTAGAAATTGAACCTCTGCCCCTGGAGTTCAGGGAAGAGATGGAACATCTAGAAATGCTGATCATTTTCCTGGAGACAGAAAGAACAGGCAGAATTTGCTAGAGTAGCTGTCTGGAAGCAGAACTCTCACCAAACTACTCTCATCCATCTGCCTTGATGCCTGCAAGTGGAATAAATGCAGCCAATACCTGTAAATTGCACTGAAGGGTCAAAAATAAGCAAGAACTTATGGGTAGTAGAAGTTTCCGTGAATCATTACAGGGAGACTTTCTGGAATAATTCAGGTGTCATCCTAAACAGCTAGTCCCCTCCACACTGGCAGCCAGGTGCACTTAAATGTTTAATTTCCCAGATGCCTCCTGTCCCACAGCTGATGACCAGCAGGAGTGGGGAGAAGGCAGAGAGGGGTGCCTGAAGGCAAGGGGTGCTTGGAGAAAGGGCTCCTGAGAGCCCCGCTGCATGCGCAGGCTTGCAGGGTACAGCCCTGTGGGCCAGCTGGAACACAGACATAGTCATAGGCCAGGTGTGGCCTTTAAAGAGGCCAGCCTCTCCCATAAACTGTTTATGGAGCCCTTCCTTGTAGCTCCAGGAAACGTACCTAAAAAGACATTCTGTGGCATCTCTGATTCAGAGAATGCCTTCCGCGCTACCTCACCAGTTGCCTAGAGCTATGCTTAGGATGCACGGAGGAGCAAGAAGCTGGCACCTCCACCCAAGCCCTGGAGCCACGTGCGCTGGCCACGGTGAACGCCACGGGGCGGTTGACCAGCTGCTCGCGTGCGGCCTGGGCCTCCAGCAGAGAGGTCACCTACAGCAACACAGGACTTTCATGGGCCCTGGACACCTCTGCCTCTGTGGCCTCATCCTCCACTAAGGAGAAAACCTCAGAAAAAAGCATTCTCTACACTGGTACTGGTCCAAAGAGTATAATCCTGAGCAGATGATGTGTGTTCTTCTTCTTATTTTAAAAGAAATTGGAATGTTCTGGTGGCTCCCCCTCTGACATGTTGTTCTGTGTGCCAGGTCCAGGGGGGAAGTTGGTCTCCAGCTCCCCAGGCAGGGGAGAGTCCCGAAAGAGCCTGCGGTCAGGGGCACCAGGGCAGAGAGGTCTTGCCTAAGTCGTAGAACCCAATCAGAGCCACAAGCGACAGGAAAGGCAGGAGGAGGAGAGAGAGGTTAAGGGAAGGGAGCGAACCACAGGGCAGCCAGGCTGCAGGCCTTCTGGAGCCCGGGCCAGGGGCTGCAGAGGAATAGTCAGTCCACTTGCAGGAGTGTGTTCTTGCTGTGTGTCCCTCTCTTTGTGCCTCGAGTCCCCAGCTCCTGCTGGCCCTTGCTGCCAACCCTGTCTCATGCCATCATGCTCCACAATGCACTGCCAAGCCCACCATAGCTCTCCTCCTCTGAGGCAGAGGAAGGGTGAAGGGGGCGCAGAGGTAACACACCACCAGGCGCCCTGTCTCTGTGGAGTTTCTGTGTATTTCCTGCTTCGCTTTTTCCTACTGGTGTCTGCAAGATTGGTTGTGAAGAGACAGCGCCATCCTCTGCAAAGCATAAAGTTCCAGGCCTGCAGGACAAGTTACATTATTTTTTATTCTAATAGAAATCTGTGAAGCTCCATCCTCCTCCCATCCATACTCCCAACTAACGCAGCTCAAGTGTCTCGACTCCCAGAGCGCGCTACAGGAAATGTCTCATGAGTCAGTCAGTAGTGCAAGTGCCCTTGCGCACCCCCTCCGGCTGTTGGTTACCTTGGTGCAGAGCAGGGGTGTAGAATCAGTGAAACTTCAGGGTACCCTGGTGTTTGGAAGCCCTCTGATGCTCAACTGTCTGGCCTGTTAGATTTGGACAAACAAGATCCCAGTAGAAAGGAGTAGACTCCACTGTAAAGCCCTACTGGGGACGTAGCGCAGGGGTAGAGTGCTTGCCTGGCACGGTAGGCCCTGGATTTGATCCCCAGCACAGAGCAAAAGTTAATTGGAATTCTTAAATTCTGTCCATCACAAATGCAGGCAAGAAATAGGAACAACTGTTGGAAAGTAGGCGTGGGAAAGAGTCAAGGAATCCAGCTCTGGGTTCCAGCTTGCTCCGCAGGGCTGGGGCTTGCTGAAAGCAAGGGTGAAAGACCCTCACCCTTCACGGCTTCTGGCTTCCCAGCAGGTGGCGATGGGATGGATGTAACCCAGAGAAACAAGCGAGATGGTGCGGAAGTCACTGAAAGAAGTAAGAGCTTTGAACTTGTCTTAAAAAATATAATTGTTTCACTAGAAAAATAATAAGAAATTGGAACAATTCATTCATAATTTCTTGTCAACCACCGTATCATTTTAAAATGTGTTCCTTAAGGGGCCTTATCCGTTTCTGTAAGATGGCCCATGTTGATCTTTTTTTTTTTTTAACAGTTTTGGAATCAAAATGTGTCTTGCCTGTTTTTCCAAGATAGAAATGACCCCTTCCGGGGCTTGGGGGGTAGCTTAACAGTGCAGCACTTGCTGGTGTGTGAGAGTTCTGGCTTGATCCCCCGTACTCTGGGATGCAGTGGGGGAGGGGGAGCCTTCTTGTCACCTGCATTTTTAATAGCTGTATTATATTTTGTTGAATATACTTACCACTGTTCATTTAACCATTCTCTACTTAGGGAGAGAGAATAACAGAAATCGGAAGGTAGAATACCCCGGTTGTTACATGGACTAAGACAAAACAGTACCAAGGACATAGTAAAAATCTACACTACCAACTGAAAAAGATACATTTATTTCTAAAACTTCCCACATGATAAAATCAGAGACATTTAACCTATGCCTCTAGCAACTTTAAATTAGGGAGGATGTTTTGGTAACTCATTCTGTGACTTTCACTTATTTCCAATTAAAAAATAAACTTGGATTCTGGGATTCGAAACATCAGGTTTAGAAACAATTTATTCTGATGTGTCAGAGAACTGCAGAAGGCTACCTCACCGAAGTCTTACGGGCCGCTGTCCTCAGACAGAGCGCTCCTTCAGTGCTCATGCACTGAACGCCGGGCCTACTGCATTCAGTCACGTTCTTGGTAGGAAAACCAAGCTCATGAGGAGAACGCGGGTGAGGAGGGATGGGGCGGAAGGGACAGCGCAGACCAACAGTGTGGCTTGTGGTGCCTCCAGATCATCCTGCCCCAGCTCCCACTCTTCTCTCCTTTCACCACCTCCACCCACCTGCTTGTGTGTACGCACCAAGCCGTAACCCTCTATACACTCGCCATCACTTGGATCAGAGGATCCCAGTTTTAGGGGTCAAATGGACTGGTCCTCGGCTCTGCCTCTGAGGTTCACGGCTCAATGATGGCACTAAGCAGCCCCTGTGATTCCCTTGAGCCCTTCCTTTCTGTACCTTCTACCTTTGTGCTGGCCCTGAAGATTCAGAAGGAATCGCCATGGCCTGGAGACACCCCCATCCCATCAGGAAACACACGGAGACTTCAGAGGGAGCATTGGCCCCAGCTCAGGGACCTTCGGGAAGGAACAAGGCAGAGGACACTGTCCCTTGAGAGGAGGAGCCAGTACTCCTTCAGGGTCTGCCCATGAGAAGCCCTGAGGCCAAGACAGCCCATCTTTCAAATCAGTGCGTAGCTTCTCTTGATTCCAAAGAGTTACAGACTTACCTTCCAGGTGCTCTGAGTCCGTGGGTATGTTCTCAGCTGTGGCGGGCAGTCTATGTCCATGCCGCCCTGAACGTGCCCGATTTCGTCAGAGATAGGGGTCAGACCACATCATGGAAAGCACAAGTGTTGAATCTAATTTTACATAGTTAACCTATGACAGATCTCAGACCTTGCCAAAACACCGGTATGAAGCCTAAGATCTCCTCTTCTTGTGTCTTTTCTAGTTATCACTGAAACAGTAACCACAAGGCTGACATCCTTACCACCAAGTAAGTGAATGCCCATTCCCAGTGAGTCATGTGTGGAGGCCACACACCATAACTTTGTCGGGTAGGCTGCTCTCCCAGTGAGCAAATCAAAAATGTCTGACCTTTTTTGGCTAACAGCTATACTGAAGTTAATTTATAGACAGAGGCTACTGCTTTGGAGTGTGTAATCCATGCAGGGCTAGAGTAGCTACAGAGCACACACCGTTGCACACCTAATGTGAGAGCGTTTGCATCCCTCCAAAGAAAGCCTCCTGACTTCAGAAGCCACTGGGCCCTCTCCCTGCCCCTTGCCGCAGCCCGAGCACACTATCCTGCCTTATGTCTTGATTGGTCCATCCTAGACCCCAGACACTACACCACCCCCAACCACGGAGGAGGCTGACACCTGCCAAGCTTCCCCTTCATTCCACCTTTCTGCACAATTCTCAGGCCTAGTGGGCTACATAATGGATTTCTAAGCCCCCCAAACTACCCCTGTTCCTCTCAGGAAGCCTGGAAGCCAGGATAGGGGAGCCCACCCATCAGCAGGCTTGGGCAGAACAGGCTTGGGCAGCCGGGTGGGACACAGAGGTGACACGCATCCCTGCAGCCCCTCTAGTGGCTGCCACATCTGGGCCCTCGCCAGGATTCAAGGAGCTTTTTGTTGCTCTGCTTCTTTGTCTCATATTCAGTTTCCTAGGGAGTAACTTGCAGGGTCCCCCCAAGAGGCTCTCTTGTGATCAATTCACTATCCACTGCAGAAATCCATACCCCCACAAGCTATAGTATGGTAGCGCCCTCCCCCAGAGTAGAGTGAGGGGACCCCAGCCTGGAGCGCCCTGGTGAGAAGCCCCAGGAGGCTTCCACTGCACAGGCGATGAGGGATGTCATGACCCAGACCCCACCCCAAATTTTCATCCGCTGTTTGGTTCTGGCAGAAGGAGGGACCAGCAATGGCTACGCCAAAACCGGCTCTGTTGGTGGAAGCGGCCGGCTGGAGAAGCAAGGCCTGAGCCACGGCAGCGGCAGCTACACGAACTCCAGTAAGTACCCACCAAGGCAAGCAGCTGGGGACAGGAAGGACGGACAGGAAGGGAGCCCAGGTAGATGCAATTCTGAACCAGCATGGAAAAGGGACCGTTACAGCTGCTTGTCTTCTATTCCAGATGCCCCTGGGGTGATCTCAATCAGGGTCCCTAGTTGTAGGAGGGGAGTGGCAGGCAGGCAAGCTCCCACCACTCTTGTCAAATCAGCAGGGCATTCGATTTTCATAGGACGTGGACCCTACCGTGAACTGGGCATGCGCTGGACTCAAGTTGTAGGCCCCTGTGAGGCCTAACCCCAAACTGCCTCCTTCCCTCCCATCTATGGAAAAGTTGTCTCCCCGAAACCAGATCCCTGATACCAGAAAGCTGCTTGGGGAGCACTGGCTAAATGCCACAAGACCAAGGAAGAAGGGAATTTTAGATATCTGAGCTCTGCTTAAAATGGGATGGATTTACCTTTGGTTCTCAAGGTGAATAACTGTCATTAATTAAGAAACCTGCACAGGCAGGAAGCTGTGTTCCCCGAGCCACTCTCCAAGCCTGATCTTTTAGGAGAAGGTGCGTGTGTGGAGGGTTGACAAGCTGAATAACAACAAAAACCTAGCAGTGGGGTCACTCTGCTCGGAGGTCCTGGTAGCACAGGAGCCTGCCAGGGAAGCACCCCACACTGACCCCCTCTGCCCACGGGGTGTTCTTCCAAACAAAGCACAGCAGAACAAAGCAAACTAACACTGAGCCAAGAGTGTGTACATAATCCCTGCAGCCACTTGCAACGCCTTACAATGAAGCCACAAGAAAAGCCAGGGTGTGAGACAGGCTAGGCTGGCCCAGGGAAGTGGCCACCCTGCTGCTGGGGACGCCAGAGCGGGTTCTGCGACGCCGCGTCAGTCCTCAGGAAAACCCTGGCTGTGCTGCACTCCATAACAGTGTGAATACAGAGGCACCTCCTGTCTTTCTGAGTCTGCAGGCGAGCCAGCGGCAGTAACACCCCAGCCCTACAAGGCCTCCCTTAGTTCAGAGCTGCCTGAGGGTGCTTGGCTGCTTCTGGATTTCAGTGCGGGGAGGCCACCAGGCTCCACACCTCTCCTTGCAGGTGGAAGCCTACGAGGCCACGCCTCCACCTCCAGCTACCGGAGGGCTCACTCTCCCGCCTCCGCCTTGCCCAACTCACCTGGCTCAACCTTTGAGAGGAAAACCCAGACTGCCCGCCATGGAATGTATGAAGGTACCTGTCCTACAGACATGGGGAGAGTCGCCCTCTCCCCACGTGACTCCACTTAGCACTGGGCACTCAGGCACCGGCCTGGCTTCACCTCTACCCTCAGCTCTTATATAGACTCACGTTACTTGGAGATTTTGTTCCTTCACCTGCCCCTCATCCATTCATGCCTTCATCTATTCAGCCACTCTTTAAACTGGTATTTCTTCAAACACCTGCTAGTTGTTTAACACCATGGAGGGAGGGCCTCCCATGGTCCCAAGATGAATCCAACATGGATCTTGTCTTCCAGAAGCCTAGAGTCTGTGAGAAAAGTTAAGATGACAGACGAAAAAAAAAAGATTGTGGGGCTCATTGTGGTGCACACACCTGCAATCCTAGCACTGTGGGAGGCTGAGGCAGGAGGACTGAATGTTAGAGCTCAGCCTGGGCAACTTGCAACTTAGAAAGACTCTGACTCAAAGTTAAAAAATAAAATCAAAGAATCAGAGGTGGTTGGGGATGTAGCTCAGTGTGAAGATCCTGGGTTCAGTCCCCAGCATAAAGAAAGGAGGACAGAGAAAGAGAGAGAGAGAGAGAGAGAGAGAGAGAGAGAGAGAGAGAGAGAGAGAGAGGCAAAGTAGATAACACTATCATTTTCAGCTGAAGAAATCATGGAAAATCATGTATGGAGGAGGTGGCGTGTAGCCAGGCTGCCCAAGGTGCAGGATGCTGATGACAGGGAGGCAGACACAGGGCAGTGCGGCTGGAGAGTCCCGAGCTCGCACAGGAAGCAGCTGGGGCTCCTGTGTGAGGAGGAATTGGACGGGGCTGCGGTATGGCTCAGTGCAAGCACACGGGGGGCGGGGGGACAGGAACGCAGGGCAGCCCTGAAGAACTGCTCGGAGTGGAGAAGGGCTGTGGAAGGTACCTGGCTCCATGACTAAGGCCACTGGAGTCGTGGGGCTGCTCAGGAGCTGTTCTAGTGGGAACTGGGCCAGCCAGACGGATAATGAGCTCAGCAGTGCAGGAGATGGGTCCCAGTGACAGACAGGCAGCCTCCTAATTGCTAGTAAGTGATTGAAGTGGGCTGGTGGCTCCACACAGGGACTGCTGCTGCGGCAGGGTGAGGCTACCAGGGAAGCCCAAGGTCCAACGAGAATCTCATCACACAGCGCTGTCTCCCTTCTCCTTCTCCTCCTCCTCTTCGTGCTCCTCCTCCTCCTCCTCCTCCTCCTCCTCCTCCTCTTTCTCCTCTTTCTCCTCTTTTTCTTCTCTCCTCCTCCTCCTTCCCCTTAGGCTTCCTCTTCCTTTTCCTCTTCTTCCACAGGGCTTTCTGATGTTAGGCCTGAGCCTGTTATTTTAACAACTTTCAAAAACAAGCATCACCAGGTCAAAGAATGGAGGTGTCCTTTCTAGGTCGTGGGCCCAATTCGTCCAGTGTCTGCTCACCCTTCACCGTGCCTTGGGCTTGGGCAGAAGAGTCTAGAGCTGCCTGCCTCTGGGAAGGTGACAGCCCAAGGGGCCAGCTGTGCTAAGTGTTTCATCCCTCTCCCCAGGGAGCTCCAGTGGCAACTCTTCCCCGGAGTACCCACGGAAGGAATTTGGTATGTTCTCTCCTTAAGCTCTGGCACTGAGGAGAGCCTGTGGTGCTGGTGGAGGGCAGGGAGCGCCTGAGCTGCCCGGATGCGGCACAGGAGCTGCCTCTGCCCGCGCATTTGCTCCTTGTTCTCCATCTCGAAAGGGCTGTCAAGTCTTGCCGACTCGCTGTCACAGCATTTGCTTGTAGCGCTTTTAAAATGCGAGCCATTTATTGTGAAATTCGTGCCTGGGTAGATATGCCGCCAAGGCCAAGCGAAAACTGCGGGGATTGGGATTCTTTCTTCCTTAAAAGGCACAAGGACCTGCCAGCCAAGAGGCAAAAGCAACAAATGCCTCACCCTAGCTGCCTCCAAGAGCCATGTCACAGCCTGGGAGCCTAGGCCAGGCCTGCGGCCTTCTGGCCCTACGAATCTGCTCCATATTCCTGGAAGCCCACTGTGCTCATGAATTGAGGCTATGGCCGTTGATTATACAGTGACCGACCAGTTTGTTTATTTATTTGCTTACACTTGAAAGCCAAGACAGGTTCTAATAAATTCAAGGGATGATTTGACAGCCTTTTGATCCATTCGATCCGTGTTACACAGGAATCATGTCCCTAAAGGGACTTCCTTAGCTAACAGTGCTGTTGGTTAATTTAAAATTCGTTTGGCTAAATGAACACCTTACATGCGCTGGGGCCTGCAGAACCCGCTCTGCCCTTCAGCTCTGCAGACATCCCTTCACCAATAAATGGTCATCATTTATTCAGCATGTGCAGCTCAGAGCAAGCCCCTCGTTGAATTTACACACAATAACCAATACCCCTAAAATATTTATCACCATGTCAGCATGCCTGGTCTTATGTATGCCTAAAATGACATTCTTCTCTTTCTCAGCATCTTCTGCAACCAGAGGACGGAGCCAAACGCGAGGTAAGCACAGGGCTAGGTTCACTCTCATCCATTCAGCTAGTGCCTTCTGGGTGGTTAACACGCACAAACCGTGAGCCAGGACCACGCACAGGCGAGTGACGCCAGGCGCTCTTTGTAGGCTTGGGGCGTCAGGCCCGAGAGACCACAGAGGCAAGAGGAAGCTTAGTCATGCCACCCACAGCACAGGGAGTGGTCAGTGCTGCGTGGGGTGTGGCCTTTCTGCTCACCTGAGACCTCGTCAAGGGGCCTCGGGGCCTGCAATGGACAGGCGAGGTGAGGAAGGGGCCATCTCGTGCTTTAGCAGGGCTCCTCTTAGGGCATCTAGGCTTCCTGCTCTTGAGGGGCAGAAAGCTCAGAGCAGCCAGAAGGGGCTCAGAGGTCAGTGTCAGGAGTCCAGGCCCCTCCACCCACCCACAGCCTGTGTCTCTTCCTTTGCACAGAGAGCGAAATCCGGGTGCGGCTGCAGAGTGCATCACCATCCACCCGATGTAAGTGGTCAGCGGCTTGCTGCGAAGGTCCGGGGAGCCCAGCAGCTAAGTCACATGCATGCTGCGTACCACTTAAGAGTTTTGGACTGGTGCTGTGTGCATGTGTGTGTGTGTGCGTGCATGAGCGTGTGTCTCTCTGTGTGTGCATGTGTGCATGTATCAAGCATAAAGCATCCCTGAGGGCCTTCAGTGACTTAGTCCCTTTGCTGGGAGCTGGGGTTTGGTCACATGTCCTTGCTGCTTAGTAGTTCACAGGCCACAGCAGACCAAGTAACGCTCACGGCTCAGTGTACAGAAGGAGCGTGGAGCAGCAGTGCTTAGCAGCCCATCGAGCTGGGCGTAGGCACCAGGCCAGAGGCCTTCCTGGGTTAGGTGTCACCTGAGAGGTGGGCCTGAGGATGTGGCCAGGATGAGACTTTGAGGAGCGGTGCAGGGTGAGGACACAGTGGGAGACTCCAGACTGGACAGGGCCAGTGGACCTTGGAAGCTTCAGCCTCATCTCCCAGGTCAGAGGCCCCCAGCCTCTCCACATTGGCTGCTGGATTTCTGTTGCTCTTGTTAGACATTATTTGGCAGTGCTGGGAAAGGAACCCAGCTTTTAGGGTGGGAGCCAAGTGCAGGGAAAAGGCGGCTGGCCCAGGTTGGTGGCCATGGGCACAGAAGCGGAGCGGCCCCAGAGCTCAGCTACTGCGGTGGCGGCTCCTGCTCCAGCCCAGGATACTTTCTCAGCCTTGAGTACCTCCAGGCTTGTTAAGCCCAAAGGACAGCACTTTCAGGGGTCCCAGGAAGGGGCCCAGCACACACTCTGTGCAAGTTGGCTTGACTCCTGCTATGAGCTGCTCCTGCACGGTGGCCCCCACCGCCACGCTTCCCACTTGGAGTGGAGGTGCAGGGAGCGTGCTCCCTCATTCACCTTGCTGCACATGGCACCAGTGGGAGGACGCGAAACTCGGCCACACAGGAAAGCAGCGTGGTGCTCAGGACTTAATGCCACGAGCTCCCTTCCTCCCTCGCAGGCAGGCAAGCTCAGGACCCAACCTCGAGGCATCCTCTGCAGGGGATGAGGTTGCCATGTGCTGTGAGGCACCTGGTGTTCCAACTGCCTGCCACAGGTGGCAGCCACAAAAACACCCTTGTGGTGTCTGTTGAGGCCAAATAATTTGACCTCTTTCATGAGGTATTATATTTATGAGGCTGTTCAGGTTATCAAAGGCCAGGCTGATGAGTGTTACAAATAGCAAAAACACAAAAATTATAAAGCTAACCAAGATTGCCCCCACGCAAAGCGGGTGGCACCCTCCACAGGATTCAGAAGCGCCTCACACCGCAGCTGCACTCAGGAAAGTCCTGGGCCTGATGGGAAAGTCTGGGGATTCTTCCACAGGGACAGAGCTGGATGATGTCAAGCGTTTGCTCAAGGGCAGCCGGTCAGCAAGTGCCAGCCCCACCCGGAACTCATCCAACACACTCCCCATCCCCAAGAAAGGCACCGTGGAGACCAAGGTTGTGACGGCGAGCTCTCAGTCAGGTAAGGCCCAGACGCGGCTACCGGAGGGGTGGGAAGAAGGTGGTGGGCTTGCCCTGGCTGGGAATTCAGCTGTCTCCTGGAGCCCTTCCAGACTTTGCCAGAGACTTCCAGAGCTGGGGGGAAAGGGCTTAGAAGGAGAGGGGGTGAACCTCAAGATAAGGTTAATGGGCTTTTTCCATAGCGTGAGCACAAGGCCTCTGGGCCTCTCGCCCACGCGCCAGGCTGTGTCACGTGCATGCAGGAGCCAGTGCCACAGGCTGGAGGTTCTCCTCCCGTGGGCGCTGGCAGCTGCATGTGTCAGCTGGCTCCTGCACGAGGTCCTGGGGAATGCTGAGTGTCTCCCCTCGTTCTCCGATGCTTGCCTCTTCTGTATCAAGTGCCAGGCAGTGAGGGAAGCAACAGACAAGACAGACATAGCCTCAGCCCTCTTGAAGATGTGGTCTCTGCGGGATGCCAAACAGGAGCCCAGAGGCCTTAGCCAAGTGGATGAGTAGTGCCCAGCACCCGTATGCCAAGTGCTTACCGGGTGCAAAGAAAGCTCCAGCCAGGGCGACGGGCTAGCAGAGCTGTGGAGGGAGCAGAGGAGGGCGAGCACACCAGTTCTGACACACAGCGGTCCTGTCATTCGCTCCTAAAAGAATCAGCAGGTCCAACCTTCTTGGCGCTCTTTCCCAGAAGCCAAGCCTTGGCCTTCTTACCTGGCTGGCCGGCTCCCTCTCCTGGAGTGAGTAGGTAGCGCCAGCATCAGATCTGGAGATGCACAGGAGGCCCTCCAGGGCAGAGCGCCATTTGGTAGGAGTGCCATGCAGGACACTTGCAGTGTGGCCTCAGACTTGAGCGCTGTCCTTCCGGACACTCCCATGCTATCAGAGTTTTGGTTTGTGGGTCCCATTTGCCGGTCCCAAGAGAGCTGCTCCTTGGCATCTCTGAAGATGGAGGAGCCAGCAAAAGGGAGGACATTCCACCAGGAAGTGAGAAGATGAGAGACCTTCAGGGCGAAATCCAGGGCAGTCCCAGGAGGCCGCATCACTAAGTTCTCCCAGCAGGAAGGTGTGGGCTCATCTGTCGCTGACAAGAGCTCCCATTTCTGTTTACAGTGTCAGGCACCTACGACACCACCATCCTGGATGCCAACCTGCCGTCCCACGTGTGGTCCTCCACCTTGCCTGCAGGGTCCTCTATGGGGACCTATCACAACAACATGACAACCCAGAGCTCCTCCCTCCTCAACACCAATGCCTACTCGACAGGATCAGGTGAGTGGCACATGGGGCACACCTTCTTACCCACATCATCAAAATCACACCTCTGCCCTGGAGCTGAATGACCTGCCTGGCCCTGGAGGCCTCAGTGCGTGGAGCTGCTTTCTACGGCCACGCCTCTGCTGGAACTTCAGGCCAGTGCTGTCTAGGAGGTGTTTCTCCCTGTGGAGGCCCTATGTAGTAGTGGGGACCAGGAAGGACATGATGGGCAGGAACGCTGAAATGCTAGGGGCCTGGAGCAAGCCATTCTAGTGCTCTGAGCTCCAGGGGCCTTCTGTGTCCAGGGCGGTCACTAACCAGAGCACCTTCTGTGGAGCCACTTCTCCACCAAGCAGAGATCGCCTTCCTGCTGGGATCTGACGCAAACCACAGCCTAATGCTTGCTTCTCCACTGCCCGGTGTCAGAACTGAACATCAAGCCTTTTCAAAAAGCATAAATGTAACATGTAGAAGTCCAGTCCCCTCTCACCCGCCTTCCTTCTTCCCTGCAGTCTTTGGAGTCCCAAACAACCTGGCGCCCTGCTCCGCAACCTTGCAGCCTGGACTCAGCTCCTGCTCCTCAGGTCAGTGTCCCTGCCCTGAATGGCCTTTTCCACGCTGCTGCGTACAAGGACACAGGCCGCTTTCCAGGGAGGAAGGTGGCCTGGCTTCTGGGGCTGCCTTTCTGCTCGCAAGCAGGCAGGGCAGAGGCCGAGGCCACAGCTGCATTTAGGGGCCCAGTCAGGTGGCCGAGGCCCCACGGGAAGCATGGCTGTGGCAGACCCACCAGCACACGTCTTCTGTGCAGGCTCTTTTCTAGGAGAGTGGGAGAGCTGGAAGGAAAGGGGCCCAGTGAGCCATAGCTCGCTACCTTTTCAGGGAGAAAAGCTTGAGCTTAGACAGAGCTTACTTGAGGTCACTATAAATACGGTAGGTAGCTCACTGGAGGACTCGCACGGGGAAGATAGCATTACTGTTTAGCTTCCAGGGCAAACATAGAACTATTTTAAAGAAATCCTTATTCACTGTTTCCTATATGTCCTCATAGCCCATATGGAATTAAATTATCGGGCGCATCTTCTTTATAATTTATGTTCCTCCTGTCTTACTGCAGCTAATAAATCTAACGAGCTGGGCCCATCTTTGTCTATGGGCTGCTGTTACTGCAAGTGCAAATTTAGTGATCAGACACCCAGCACCTCTGCTTTCTAGAGACCCACCAAGCCCGCAACCCCCTGGATTCATGCTTGCTCTCTTCCACCCTCGCTGTCATGTTTTGCCAAGCTCTGAATGAGCCAGGCCCGAGGAAGGGCTGAGCTGGTAATGGAAGCAGGCTCTTGTGCTCTGAACACTCAGTAGGATGGAGCAGCGGCAGCTGAGGTGAAGGACGAAGGCATTTCTGCATTGGTTAATGAACAAACAAGAAGCCTTGGAGGGAATGATGGGGGGAAGGGCGCTTTGCATGTTTGACTTAGGAGAAGACAGAGTTGTAGGGAAACCCAGGAGCCTGCCAGTTCGTGCCTCTCAGCCCCGCAGCTGCATCTGTGTCCACAGCACAACAGCCAGCACCAAATCACCCCACGGTGCAGCGGGGAACAGGAAGTGCCTGGGATGTTTGAGGAAGTCAAGGAAGTCGAGACACATTGTCCATAACAGTGTGTCCTGGGTGAACCACATCTGTTAAGTTCTGTGGTCCTAAGCCCTCAACAAAAGGAACTGGAGGGGAGGGGGAGGCATACGAGACTTGGCTGTGTCACCAGCAGTTGTGAAACAAGGAAGCCTGGAAATCTGTCACCTGTGAGGTTACCTGTCATAAAGGCGGTTCAGGCTTCAGGAGGTAGCCTGCATCTAGGAGGCAGGCATCTGTGTGCACCCGCGCTCACGCTGCTCTCAATCCCTCTCCAGTGTTTGGGATGCAGAACAACCTGGCTCCCAGCTCCACGGCTCTGTCCCATGGCACAGCCGCCACGTCTACAGGTTGGTAGCCCAGGTTCAGCTTAAGGGCTGGGCAGTGGCACCTCTTTGAGGCTATAACTCTGAGTATCCCTTTCTGCAACTCAATAAGAAGGTCCCAAAGGCTCCTGAAAAGCCACTGGTCTTTCCCCCAAACAGACCCTTCCCCAGCCTAGAGATGGGGACCTTGACCATCTGCTGGTCAGATGCGAGTTAGACAGACAAGGCTGCCCGTTCCATCAACGGCATCCAGGCCCTGTCACACGTGGCCTGCATATCCTGTGGCTCTCACAGCCCCCTGGCCAGCCTGGTGGTCCCTCCACCCCACAGTGAGCTCCTGCACGGTCCTCTGTCACTGCATACCAACTCGCTGGGTGATTTTACGATGAACCCCTGTGCAGAGCTGGAAGTTGGAGTAGGGATGAAAGAGACTCTGCTCTCAACTTGCCTACTGTGGGACTGGAGTAGAACGTTTAGTGCACATGAAGCAGGAACAAGAATGAAGTGATACGCTGTGGTAGATATGCAGAGAGAAGGGACAAAGTGAGGTCTAAGAAGATTTCTTGGGGGGTGCTTTGGAAAGTTCCAGAAGGATGAGCCTGTTTATACTCAAGAACAGTCCATTGAAGCCCTCTTTGCTGCTGCAGAAAGTTAAGTCCTTTGCTTGCTTCTTAACTGGGGAGGCCACCTGTCTGCCAGGGCTGACTAGCTGCTCAGAGTGGCAGGACCTTCCCTCACAGGCCAGTGAGCCCACTCTATGGTGCTTCTCCTGCAGCATACGGTGTGAAGAAAAATGTGTCCCAGACCCCTGCTGTCGTGAGCACTGGTGTGTCCACCACCTCCACTGGTGAGTTCTGTTCTCCTCTGCCAGGAATTGGGCCAGCACCTGGACAGAATTGCCGGGCTGCGACCCAAGGGTACTGGGGGAGGGGACAGAAGCCTGCAGGGTCTGAGGAACACAATTCACCCCAAAGTCTCTTGGATGTCTCTGTGAACACACAGAGATGAGCATCTGCTCAACTGACTGTGGCCTGCCTCCCCTAGGATGTAGGAACCTCCGCCCACCACCCCTGCTTACCCCCGTAAGGACCAGGAACCCCTCAGAAGCTGCCAGCACCGCCCTGCTTTCTACAGTCTTTATCAGCTTGGGCCCATGCCATACCCAGGGCCTCTTTCCCCATTGCTCTGACCCCAGTGTTGCTTCCATTCAGCAGTCATTAATTTAAAAAGAAAACTACCAAGCACTTACTTTACATAAGACAGACTGGTCCAAGCACTGGGAGCAGCGGTGATGACTGCAGGGTAGGCGCATGCCTTTCCAGCCCAGTGACTCCAGTGGAGTAGGCAGATGGCAAGCGCGAGACAAAACACACAAGCTAATCGCAGGAGACGGCAGAGATTCTGAGGAAGCCATAACTGATGGCCGAGGCAGAAGCAGGAGTCTGTGTAGGGGATGGGGACACAGTCAGGAAGCGCCTCCTCAAGAAGACAGGCCACGCCCCACATTAGTTAAGGGACCTGCTGTGGGGAGGCAGTCGCCCATTTGGTAAAGACCCCATATTTCTGGGTGAGGAGGCTGACAAATGACAATGCCAGGCTGGCCTGGCATTTCTGCCATTGACCCAACCTCCCGAGAGCCAGGCCCAACCAGGCAGGGAGGGCATCTCGGTCACAGCGTCTCCTGAGCACTCACCAGCATCCCTTCCTCCTTCCTCCTTGCCCTTCTGCCCATCGCACCCCTCTGCCCTCTCCTGGCCACTTCCTTGCTCTTCCCTGGCCTCTTTCCTGTCCAGCCTGCACCACCAATGTCCAAAGCGATGACAGCTTGCACAAGGACTGCAAGTTCCTGATCCTGGAGAAAGACAACATGCCCTCCAAGAAGGAGATGGAGCTGCTGATCATGACCAAGGACAGCGGGAAGGTCTTCACTGCCTCCCCAGCCAGCATTGCTGCGAGTATGCCAGAGCCATGCCTTGGGCGGCAGGGGCAAGGCCAGGGTGCTGGGGGCTGGCCGTTCCAGCAATGTGGTGGTGGTCGCAGGTGATTTTGTCATTAGCCCAGGGCTACTGCATGCTAGTGAAAACTGCCTGCCCTAGCAGAGTGTCCCAGGGGCTGAGCGAGTGCAGAAGAGCCAGGAAAACTCAGGCAAACGATTTTCACAGGGTTCTCTGGGCAGCAGCAAGTCTAACCGCAAGAGCAGGGCTTTCCTGGTAACTGGCTAACGCTGGCCTCTCCAGGCAGCCAGGGCCTAGGGGCAGGTTGGGGTCAGCAGAGAATGGGCTGGATTATCATGGGTTCTGTGCACAGCTTCTTTCTCAGAAGACACTCTGAAAAAAGAAAAGGAAGCTGCCTACACTGCTGACACCTGCCTAAAAGCAGACGCCAATGGTAAGGGCCAACTGGACCGCTGCCCGCTTGACTGCACTTCATTCCTCTGCCTCCTGAGCCCCCCGTCAGTGGGGTCCACAAACCAGCAGAGTTTGCAGCATGCATGCAGATGCACACACATGCACGCACACATGTGCACATATGCACACATGCATGCATAAACACACATGCAGATTGCATGCATGAGCACATACATGTCTGTGTGCACACACATGCATATGCACGCACATGCACAGACAGGCAAACATGCATGTGTGTGCACACATGCATACACATGTGCACATATGCATACATGCACACATATGCACACGTCCATGCATACACACATGCAGATTGTGTGCATAAGCACATACATGCCTGTGCACACACATGCATATGCACACACATGCACAGACAGGCACACATGCATGCATACACACATGCATACACACATGCGTACACATGTGCACACATGCAAACATGAGCACACATGCCTGCATGTGTACACACACTTGTGCACACGTACACACATGCACATGTGAACACACACATGCCTTGTGCACATGTGTACACATGCATGCAACACATGCACACATACATGCCTGCATGCATACATGCACACAGGCACGCACACTCATGCACACAGATGTATGCACACACTCACACATGCACATGCACACACATGTGCACACACACCTGCCAGACCCTCTGCATAGGTAGCTGCACTTGAACAAGCTCCGGGGGAGAGTGAGAGCCTGTGTGTGCGAGGCTGCCCTCTGGCACAGCTTCACTGACATCCTTTTCCTTATTAGTCCTTCCCTGATTTTCAAAAGGAGCAGAAAAGTGTCTTGCCAAGTATTTATTAGCTTATTTTTTTCTTCCCAAATATGTGGATTCTGTCATGGGTAAACACATTTCTTCACAAAGTCCTGCAGTATCTCCCCAAACATCTGGTTTCAGAGAGGCCAGTAAAGGAAGGGAAATGTCAAGTCATAGATCATGATGAAGTAAATGCGATTAAGTCAGTTACCTCCTGACCAGTGAAGAGATTAGTCAGACTCTCGATCCATGAGGATTTGCAAGGCTAGTAGTTCCTCACATTGTAGGGGTGGAGCCAAGCCTGTGAAGCCAAGCCTATTCAAAAAATACTTTGGAATATGATGAAATATGACAATCTCGAAGAAAATTTCACACATGCCCACAAATCCTCACATAGCATCAAACACTCACAAACAGCCTCCCCAAACCAGTCCTTGCCAAACATTCTCAGTCTCCTCCACCTATGGAGAAAGACAGGGCACCCTCCAAGGAGGAAGGGCAGCTGCTGGTTGTGACCCTGACCTGGGCCCAAAGTCCCTGAGCTGAGAGCTCAGAGTCTGGGCGGGCATGTAGCTCAGTACCAAGCGTGTTCTTTGTGTACATGAGGCCCAACATTTGATCCCCAGGACCAAAAGAAAAAAAAAATGTCAGAGTCATTTCTCTTCAGCTCGCTTATTGTTTGAATGTGACTATCACCCCCGACATGATATTCCAAAACACTGATACTTAGGGCTGGTAAGATAGCTCAGTGGACTAAGTGCCTGCTTAGGCAAGTGCAGGGACCAGGGTTTGATCTCCCCTCCACATGCTGTCCCTGAACCTGCTGAGACTGGCCACTGAGGTGGGGCATGGTAACACAGGCCTGTAATCCCAGCACTGGGGAGGCTGAAAACAGAAGGATCACTGCGAGTCTGAGCTGCGTAGTGAGACCCTGAACCAAGTACATTAAAAAACAAACAATACTTCAAGGTTTAAGGCTGCATGAGAGTAGGGCTGTGCTCTCCTTCCTTGCTGCTTGCTGGCCAGGCCATGACTCACGGATGCGGGCACCATAAATACCAGGCTCTGGGGACTGAGTGCTCACTGCTCTGCAAGGTGCCTTTGGGGTAGATTTATCCCCAGAACCTGATGCAAGGGGCAGAACAAGCTCTGGTCCAACCCCTTTGTCCTTTCAGGAGATGTGAAGGCTGGATCCACCAAGGGCAAGTCTATCTCCAAAGGTGGGTGAGAAGGGGACCCCACAGTGACAGCCACAGGGCCGGATGCGGTTCAGTAGCTGACGACAGCCCCTTGCCTGGTGCAGTGCTCCTGGGGACCCCCAGCTGTGGCTCCCTGCAGGCTCAGAAAGGAGCAGGTGGCCCGGAGTGGGCAGGCTGTGGGCTGGAGGTAGCCTAAGAAGCTCAGCTCATAGGACCCCACTTCAGGGGACACCCCTCCATGGCCCTGCTCCCCCTACCTGGCAGCCACTGAGGGCCTGGGCTCCACAGTCTCCTGCCAGGACAAGAGCAGCACACCATCATGGGCCCAAGGTGGCACAGAGCCATGACAGTCCTGCCCCCACCTCCTCCCCGCATTGCAATAGGAGCCATCCAGGTGTTCCACCTCACTGTACAGAACCTCAGACCCTGTTCCTTAAAGCAACCTTTTAGGTTTCTTGGTTTCCACTGAGCACAAGAGTGACTCTAGGTGTCGTGCAGGCTGCAAAGCACGAGCCTGCAAATGAGGCAGGCAAGGGGAGGCTTCCAGGGCAGGTGTGAGCTGTGCGGGAGCTTGTGGCAAGGCGGTGGCCTCCTGTGCTCACGGGAAGGAAGTCTGTGAAGCCTGGCCGTGGGCCACATCCTCAACAGGTGACACAGCTCGCCTCATCTCAGAGTAGCTGTCCTGCAAGCAGACCATCTCAACCCTACTGCAAGGCTAAGCGACCTTGTCAAGGTCACATGGCTTGAGCCCAGGACACTCAGGCTTCTCCTCAGCAGCTACTGCTGCTTGCATGGCACTGTGCAGAAACTTGGAAGGCCCCTCCTGGCACTTGGGCCCCAGGAAGCCACCTGAAGCTGGAAACTTGGCGGGAAAAGGGCAGAGACGCCTGGCCTCAGCTCGCCTTCTCTGGCTTTTCTACAGAATTCCACGGCTATGAGCACTTCAGCGGAGGAGGAGGGAGAGGCGGCAGTGGCAGTGCTGGGGGAATGTGGGGGGCCGCACCCTCCTGGTGCCCCTGTGGCTCCTGCTGCAGCTGGTGGAAGTGGCTGCTGGGGCTGCTGCTCACCTGGCTGCTGCTGCTGGGGCTGCTCTTCGGCCTCATTGCTCTGGGTAGGTGCCAAGGTCCAGGCAGGCTGCATGGCAGGAAGCAGGACAGGCCTGAGTCCACTGCCACGTCAGCAGGCAGGCCAGGGCCAGAGGTCACAGAGTAGGGGCCACGGGGCCTGAGATTATGGGAGCAAACCTCACACTGCCGCAGATGAGGAGACTGCGGTGGGAGGCACCTGGCCCAGGGCTAGTGGTCTCCGCATGTGGAGCTGGGATTCTAAGGCAGCCCTGGTCCTATGTGCCCTCCGCGCACCTGTGGCTGCCCGTGGCTGTCAGCTCAGGCCTCCCATGGGCTTCTGCTTTTCACCTTTTCCAACAGAGGGAGGGTAAGCTTTGTCACCCAGCTCAGATGACAAGACTGAGGCCCAAGCAGTTTCAGAGAGGGTACAACAGGTTAACCCTGCTCCACACAGGCAGCCCACAGGGAGGGTCTGTAGCAGCCTCCCCACAGGGCAGGGTGCAGGGTGGGGTGCTCATTGATGGAGCCTGTCTTTCTGTGGTCTCCCCGCAGCGGAGGACGTGAAGAAACTGAAAGCCCGTGTGGATGAGCTTGAGCGGAGCCGGGGCGGCGTGATTTATTACGAGGACAAGATGGACAGAAGCCACAAGGAGCGCCTACAAGGAGCCACGCCCGGAGAGGGCAAGGCAGGATTCAATGGTGGCCTTGGCCAGGAGGAGCTCTGGATGTTCGTGAGGGACAAGCTGCGGCTAGAGCAGGAGAACGGTGAGCACGCCTGGCGCAGGCTGGGCTACCCCATGCGCCCGCAACTTTGCCCAGGGTGGCAAGCACCCAAGTGCAGCCACCTTCTCACAGCCCAAGGGGCAGGGAGCTCCAGCACCAGGACCCCAAGTGACCGTGGGCAAACAGTCCTGGTAAGGACAGTGGCCCGGGATCAAGCACAGCACCCGATTCCGGGTGCAACCTCGGTTTCTCCCATAAGCTGTGACCGCCTGTCATGTGTGCGAGGGTGTGGAGACCTGAGAGCATTTCCTTTCTCTTACAGGAAACCTCGTAGGAATCCCTGGCCCTAAAGGTACGGCAGAGCTTTGAGCCCTTCCTCCATTCCTGTTCCCACAGTGGGAGGTGGTGTTCTGGGCGGATAGGAAAACATTTTCTGCTTTTTCCAAATGAAAGAATGAGAAGCTGAACCACCTTCCTGGAGGGACGAGAGATCTGGCTTTAGGGTCAGGAGATCTTAGCATGGGAAAGGACCTAGGTGGCATCTGGGAGAGGCTCAGTGGTCCCTCTGTTCCTGTGTCCCCCTGGCATGTGGCTCACACTGCCATACAGTGAAGTACCCTGGAGAAAGCCCGCGGGCTCCCGCGCATCTCATATCTCCATTTCTTTCTGATTGTAGGTGATATGGGAAGTCAAGGTCCAAAAGGTAAATACATCGCGACACTGGCACTTTGTTTTTATTTGGGCACACTGTACACTCGTGGGGAGATGGGACGTGTGCACGACACAGCTCCTTTTCTCATCCTCTTTCTCATCCTGCCAACCACCCAACTCTTGGTCCCTCTCTCCTCTGAGAGAGATCGTGGTTTAAAGTGGGTCCTCAGCCCTGGGCCTTGGACCAGCACGGAGCCAGCTGCAGCGTGGGAACGGGAAGGCCGCGCCTGTGTCTATAGCTGCTCCCCGTCCTCCCCTCACTGGTGTCGTGGCCTGAGCCAGCTCCTGTCCGATCAGGAGGAGGAGGTGTCGACCCTGAGGTCCCCACCGGACACAAGGGATTGCTTCTGGCCCTGTCTGTCTAGACTGGACAAACTCCAGTGCTTACAGAAACTTCTAGAAGACTGTGAGCCCCACTGCAGGGCCCCCAATTCAGTAGATTTGGCAGAGGTCAGGAGTCTGCTGTCTCAGGGGCCCTGGGTGATTCTGTGGCCAGACTGCACATCCACACTGAGAGCCACTTCCTGCCGTGACACTGTCACCCTGCTCACCTTGCTTCCCCAGAGACCCCAGCCCAGGCACTGGGCTCCCCGCTTCCACTTCTTACTCCCTGTCTGCAGCCGACACTCCTTAAGATCCAGCTAGGGACCAGAACTTGTCCTAAGCCCCTGAACCTAATGGTGTTGGCTAAAACACAGCACTCTGGTTACACATGAATTGCAGATGTGTTCCCAGTCCTTTACTACAAGTGTGTCCCAAATAGTGTATGGGGCAAGATTATAGCAAAAATGAATCTGTTTATCTGCAGCCCAAATGGGCCTGGATGTTGTATTTTCATTTTCTAACTCAGCAGCCCTAGCTGATTCCCACCATCTCTGGCTGATAGGTCTCTATCTTTGTTCCCGCAGGAGACAGAGGCCTCCCTGGGACTCCAGGTCTGTAACCCCAGATGATTCCTGGTGCTGCTGATCCATGGGGGCGCCATCATGGCTGCCGGCCCCCGGAAAAAATAGGGGCTGAGGTCTTCTTCTGTGTCCACAGGTGTCCCCGGGCTCTTGGGCCACCCCGGTCCAGAAGGACCAAAGGGACAAAAAGGCAGCATGGGTAAGAGCCGCATTTTCCATCCATTCCCCCTGTCACTTCTTCATTCATTCAGGAAACATCTATTGTAGGTGTGCTGTGCACCCAGCCCTGTTCTAGGACATAGCCCAGGACCCCATCATTGAAACCTTGCTGCTCCTGGGGCTGACGTGTGGGTGGGGGAAACAAGTGACATCTTAGTGGCCAGAGGGTGATGTGTGACCCGAGACAGACAGGGTGTGGCGGGACCCCAGAGGCAATGGGCTCAACAGGGAGGGCTGGGGGCAGAGATGAAGAAGGAAGAAGATGGTGGGGGAAGAGGCAGGCCCCAGGCCAACACTGTGTCAGGGAGGTGCAGCCTGCGGAGCCCGTGGTCGCAGCTTGGGACCCTAACTGTGAGGCTGGTGGTCCTTCTTGTCCTTAGGAGAGCCTGGCATGGAGGGGCCCATGGGCCAGAGAGGGCGAGAAGGTCCCATGGGGCCTCGTGGCGAACCAGGGTCTCCTGGGCTTGGAGAGAAAGGACACAGAGGTAAGAGACAATGCCTTCATCAGAAGGAGATAGATAGATAGATAGATAGATAGATAGATAGATAGATAGATCTTTCCATGAAGTCTGGAACCTAAAAGGTACACAATAAATGCTGGCTCCTGGATAGACAACATTTTTAAGAGAAAAGTGAGACTAAAACTAAAGCCTCGTGCTCAGCCTTTTGGCACTAGAGGATTTGGGAAGCCCATCTTGGTTCCTCTGACAAAGGAGGGCCTGTGTGGCTGAGGGTCTGATTACAAGCGCTACCCTAACCCTGATGCTCCGGTGCCAGGCCTGCACCTGGGGCATTCCTGCCCCCGTCCCTGCACGGTCCTGCACCCCACCTCACTCTCAGGCCAGGCCCCCTGCCCTCTGCTGGCCATGTGGCTCAGCCCAGGGTGACGAGGATGTCTCCCCGAGACCTCCTTCTTTGAGCTCCATGCATTGCACATCCGTCATTCGGCCGCTGTTGCCATTGTGCCTGCCGTGGAGCCCAGCTCAAGGAAAGCACTCAGCAAGTGCATGTGGGGCAGGGTGGGAGGGAGACGGGAGGGAGCATCAAGACTGAGGGGTCTCAGTAACATGGCTTCACTAAGGTTCCAAGTGGATGCACACCATGGCAGGGTTGGAAGCATCACCTCCAAATGGTACCACTGGCTGAGGGACAGCCAGTTGGAGGACTTTCTCAAAGTGTCCCATCCCCCATTTCCCCTCAGGTGAACCAGGTCCTCAGGGACCTCCTGGCGTCCCAGGTTCTGTGGGTCCCAAAGGTACGTCAAGGGCCCAGGACAGGATCTAGACTTGCCAGGGCCACATCCCTCAGATGATAGACCTGGGGGTCCCAGACTGTGTGGGTCTGTGGGGTCCACAGTGTTCCCCTGCTCTGTGGAGTCCCTGAGGGTCAAGTTGGGGGCTGCAGCTTTGGCCCCTGGTAAGCCCGGGCCCTGTCTCCTCTCTTCAGTGGCCACGGTGCGTGGCCCTTGGGTGGGTGGATGGATCGTACAGGAAATCACAATCAGATAGGTTTCCCTGCTTCTGGGCCCCAGATGCACACGTCCAAGGCCACGTGTCTGCTGCACAGCTGGGGGAGTGGGCCCCTTCTCACCACTGGAGATGCCCCTCTGGCCACTTCCCCCTGTGGCCATGCCCCAGCTCAACCAGGAAGATACCAGAGCCCCCAGCCTCAATCTTGAGGAGGGCACTGTACTGAGGCCCCTGCTGGCCCCTGCTGCCCCAAGTCCCGCCCTGGGAACAATGTGCACAGCACTCCCTCCACCCTGCCTTCCTGTCCCCCTGGCTGAGTCCTGACCCTCTGCCGATCGTTTCTTCCTCCTCCTCAGGGTCCAGCGGCTCTCCTGGCCCCCAGGGGCCCCAAGGTCAGTATGCTGCCCTTGGAAATGGGTGCTGTTTCTCAGGGGAAAAAAGAAGGGAATGTTAAAAGGAAAACCAGCCTTTTAGAACAAAAGAAGCCACTGAAGAGGGCTCCCAGAGACACGAGTCCACGAGTGTGGCGGGTGGCTGGGCCCCGTGGGTCCTGTGCAGGTTCCAGTCTGACCTGGTAGAGGACACAAGTCACACACACACACACACACACACACACACACACACACAGCTTCAGCAATGGGCAACTCACATCCTGCCTGCCCCTAGGCTACTGCCTGCCTCTGCCTCGGCCCCTGTGGGCCAAGCAGCTTATCCTGCTGCCCTGAGCATCGTGAGCTGCTGCCAGTGTCTCTGCCAGGGTCGCGTGTGGTGTTCTAGTGCCAAAGCCAGGGAGCAGCGGGGCAGGGAACCTGGACTGGGATGGCTGACAGGCGCTCGCGGAGAGCAGCCTTTGGCTTCGCCTCCAGCGTGTGTGGCAGGGTCGTGTGTGTGCCAGGATCATGTATGCACATTTGAGTGTGTGTCCAAGTGCATGTGTGTGTGTGTTCCCTCTGAGTATGGGACACTCACCCTCTTGTGTGCTTTCCTCTGGTGAGCAGGCTTTGCAGGTCTCCAAGGGCTCCGAGGTGAAGTAGGACTTCCTGGTGCCAAAGGTGAGCTGGGGAGCGTGAGGGAGAAAGAGCAGGTCACCCCGGGGATGCTCCGTGCTCAGGAAGGAGGCCAGGGGACTGGAAGTGGCTAACAGACACAACCCAGCCTGGGCAGCCGACAAGGGGGAGGCGAGATTGTGGGGGCTGACCTCAGAGGGGACACAGACCCATCTTGACTGTCCCCTGCAGGGCTTTTCGTACCAATGTGTCTATTTCCTACTCAGGTGACAGAGGACCCATGGGACCACCAGGACCCAAAGGTATGCCAACCCAGCACTGCACCCTGTCTCCACAGCCTGCCTTCTCCAGGCCCTGAGAAGAGACCGCTGGGGTAGACCTGAGCACACGTGGGTTCTCGGTGCCTACGGTCTGTCTCAGATAGGGAAACCAAGGCATAAAGAAAAGAACACTGTCCTCACATAACTGTGGCTGGGTGGTCCTCGGGGTGTTGCAGGTACATATTCTGAAGTGGCTCCTCTGGGCCTCTGGAGCCCAGAACACCTGCCTGCGACACAGCAGAGCATGGGGTGCTTGTGTGGGTGGGCTCCAGCCTGGGACAGTGGGCCGTGCTCCAAGGGCTTCATCAGAGCTGTGTTCTGACCGCATCCTGCTGCCAGAAGCTCACTGAGCCCTGAGAGCCTCCCTTCAGCGCAGGGAGCCCCGTTACCAGGAAGATGACCTTCTCAACAACAGATGGCTTACCCCGCCCCCGTGTGTGTTTTAGGTGACCAGGGAGAGCAAGGACTCCGAGGCCTCACAGGTCAGTGACACAGGACTCTACTTGAATCCATGATTTTTAAACTTCCCAGTCACTGGAGATGGGACAAATACTGAAGGATGAGCTAGGCGTGCCCACAAACCCTCAGGGAACTTGCTAAGATAAGCAGAGACCAAAATGCATAGTCCAAACTGTACATGTTGGGGCAGAAGGGAGTTTATAGTTGTTTCTGGTTCTTTCGGGGAATCCAGCTGGGAATATTAATAAGAAATTCTCAAAGTAATAGCAAGTAGCATGGCCCTTTGGGTCAAGATAGTCTTCTGGATCAGTTCAAGCCTGCTGCCCAGGGGAGGGGCGGGGCCTTGGAGTCAAGGCCCTCTGGGCGGGAAGGGGCAGGCATGGTGGGGTGTGAGAGCAGGTCGGATCTTGCAAACCTGGGCACAGTGTGCATACCTTACCTGGCTTTCTGTCCTTCGCAGGCGAGCCTGGCACGAAAGGTTCACCTGGGGCTATGGGCGAGCCTGGAGCTAAGGGACCAGTGGGTGAGTGTCGCAGAGGGGCGGCTGCATGGGATCTGCTCTTGAGAGCAGTGGTCAGTGTGGTCCTGCAGAAACCCTTCCAGAACAACCTCCCCTCCCCCCTCTCCTGCCCACCTTAGGTGAGGCACCTACCAGGCCACTTGCTGGCCTGAGCCTTCCTCCATGGGGTCTCATGGCCCCCGGCCAGCCTTGCCACAGCCCACCCACCCAGCTCCAGCCTGCAGGCAGAGGACAGGCCAGGGTGGAGGTCCTTAGAGGCCCCAGTACTCTGGCCCAGGGCCAGATCCAGCTGGCCTTCACCAAAGTATCTGTCGGAGCTGTGAAATCTGCCCAAGAACCCAACGCCAGGCCTTGGTGTCGAGGCCCACAGTGGGGATGTGGCCCCTTCGTGACGATTTGTTTAGCCAGCTGTCAGTAAGAACCACCTGTGTGCACAACAAATAAGGCAATCAACAGATAAGATACTTCCCAAGGGAAGATGACACCCACGAGAGAAGGGGCTGGGGGGAAACACTGCCAAATGCCATGAAAGTTCAGCTGAGGGCGAACGTTCTTCCTGCCAGAAGGGCAGAGGAGGTGGCCTTTCAGGTAGTCCTGAGAAGAGGAAGATCTGAAAGACACCCTGATTGGAAAACTGCCCTGCGGGGAGGACAACGTGAATCAAGACAGGAAGAGCGAGACAAGATCCCGGAAGGACACCGTTTTGGATAGAGCTGAGGAAGCTGCCTAGACAGAGGAGAAAGGAAGGTGGAGGACCTTGAGTCCCTGGAGCCTTGAACACGAAGCTGACACTTAGGAGCACCAGGTGCCAGGCTCCATGGGAGTCCTGGCCTGCTCAGCGGGGCCAGAGCCCACTGCTGGGGCAGGGGCGGAGCACAGCGAGTCAGGGCCTCCCCCCAGATGCCCTGCCTGGGAGACCTAGGACAGGTGAGGGCCTGAGTCACAGCTCCAGCAGTAACCGACAGCCTTTGCTTTTCTGTTTCACCAGGTCCTGCTGGCCCCAATGGACTCCAAGGTCCCCGAGGTTAGTCCTCCCTCTTCCCCTCTGCCTCTGCATCCACTCCCCACCCTCCCCACACCCCTGGCCCTGCTGCACGCCCCACCATTACCGTGCTGGAGGGGTTCGCAGCCCAGGAAACCTGCATGGTCCAGTGTTGCTCTCCTCCTCCTTCGCACCCACCCACGAGTCAGTTAGCAAAGCTCCAGGTAGCCATGAGCTCCGAGGCACCAAACGCCTCATGGCTGATGCCCTCCCCAGGTGAAAAGGGCCCCATGGGGACGCCTGGGACCCGCGGCCCACCAGGACTTCCCGGAGACCAAGGAAAGCCAGGTAACAGAGCTGGAAGAGGGCATGCCCATGAGAGCAGGCATGGTGGGCCTCTGTTGGAGAGGTGTGACGGGTTCACAGGGCGCGCAGCTGTGTGTGCACGCGGGTGTGTGTGCACGGGCGTGAGTGTACTCGTGTGTACCCCATCCCATTTTCTTCCAGCCCAGCAGGGGTGCCCCTGCTGTATGCACACCCACACACCTGGCACTTCCGAAGAGCAGGGCTCACAGCTAGAAGCCAGGAGCCCTAGACAGGGGAGAGCCTTCTCCTAAAAGTGCCGGCTGACACACAGCTCAATATCCCGCTCCTCTGGGCCTTTCTCTTCCTGCTCTCCTCTCCCTCACCCAACCCAGAAGACAAGCCTCAGTCTCTGCCACACATCCCAGGAGAACAGGATGCTCAGGAAAACAAATCCACACAGGAGCTGGGGATTCAACCCCTGGGCCTGCCGTGCAGACCCCGCCTCTGGGGCGCGCTGAGAGGGCAATTGAGACTGGGAGTGGTGGGGTGCGCCTGTAATCCCAGCTCTTGGGAGGCTGTAAACAGGCGGATCACTAGGAGTCCGATCTAGTAATGAGACCCTTAACACCCTGCAGACCCTTCCCTAAAAAAAAAAAAAAAAAAAAAAAAAAGGAAAATCCAGACCAGCTGAGGCTTAGAGCAGCCCTGGGGTCCATCATCATATGTTTGGGGTTCCTAGCCCAAGCCAGATTCAAGAAGAACCTACAAGCCAAACCAGGCCCAGAACCAGCGCCCAGGGAAGCAGTGGGTTACTTCGCTGCAAAGCTCCAAGACTCACTCTCTGTCCAGTGCCAGCCGGGAGGAGCACAGGTGCCCCCACCCCCGACACACACACACACACACACACACACACGCACGTGCGTCTTACTCTGGCTCCCAACCACTCCTCCTGGACTGCGTCCACCTGCCCTGCAGAGTCAGGGCATCAGCCAGCTCCTGGGACTGCTCTCAGCCCTGAGACTCTTCCTCTCATGTCTTGTTTGCTCCAGGTCTCACAGGACCCCCAGGACCTCAGGGTGAGTCATGCCCCCGCCTCTCCTAGGACAGAGCCCCTGGCCAGCCCTTCTCTGGGCTCCTGTGTACCATCTCCTCCCCCAGGGCCCAGAAAACATGGGCTCAGGACCTCCCCTGGGAGTCTTGAGACACACCTTAGAGAGGAAAATAGAGGTTAGGCTGTGTGCTGATTCTGCCTTCCTCAGATTAATTCCTCTGGGACAAGATGCCCAGGATGAGGCCCTAGGCCCACGGGGAGCGCTGCTGGCTAGGAGCTCTATTAGCCCATGTTTCCTGCGGGCATGAAGGGGTGGGTGCTCCTCTCATTCGGAGGGCTCAGTTTTTCTGGAGTGACAGGAAAACTGTCAGGAGAAAGTGCCCTTGAACCCATACAAACCACACTCATGTTAGCTGGCATGAAAGGAGCAGCTTATTAACAGCAACCAGCATGCACCCGGCTGCTCAGCGGACCCGAACAGCAGCGATGGCTGGGGAGGCAGGGACTTTATAGAGAAGGTAGAAATGGGGAAAGGGGAGTCATCAAGTGTCCCTGGCTGGGCCAGGGTGTTATGGGCACAAAGTATAGAATCCTTGCAGCAACCTGAAACAAAGCTATATGCGTAAGCAGCCGGACGCAGACAGTCAAGGTTAAATCTGCAGCACAGTTGTGGCTGGGGCATCTGGGAACATGGGAAGTGGTGCGGGGAAGGAGCCCACAGCCAAGTGCCTTAACATGGAGCAGGTTCTTTGGGGCTTGAGAAACCATCGCCACCCTCGGCCCCTCCTTTCCTAAAGGAAGCTAGGCAGAGACATGCACAGCAACACTGTGCAGGGGGAAGGGGGAAGGCATCAGGCAGGCAGGCCCCGCCATGGCTCACCATGCAGAGGGGCCACGCCCCACGCCACTGGGCCCATGGCCTCTGCCAGTGGTAGCCCAGCAGTTGCCTTGCTTCCCAAGGAGGGACAGAGTTCAGGGCTGCCTGGGCTTACAGGGGCAGGCCAGGCTGGTGTGGCCATGCTCGGTAACAGAGCTAGGACCTGGCCACCCAGAACCGTGGGGCTGAGTTAGCCTGACGAGTCTGCGTTTAATCACAGCAGGACTAGGGCCGGCCAGATAGCTCAGCAAACTAAAACACGTGGTTGGGCAGACCTAAGGGACCAGGGTTTGATCCCTGGCGTGCCATGCCAGCATAGTGAGACACTGTAGACCACGTACCTGTACTAAATGCATTGAAAAAAATAAAAATCAGGACATCCTGGGCCCCCTGGCCAGCACGGCAGCAAAGGTAAGCAACTTCCCACATGAGACTCCTTCCTTTTCTTTTTATGTTTTATGAATTTAGGACAGGATCTACAGGGTGTACAGGGTCTCACTACACAGATTGGACTCCTAGTGATCCTCCTGTTTTCAGCCTCCCAAGTGCTGGGATCACAGGCGTGCGCCACCACGCCCAATCTCAATCAAGTCTCAGTGCACCCCCAGGGTGGGACCGGCATGGCGTGCTGGGGATTGAACCCCAGCCGCTGCGCTCTGCCGAAGCAGATGCTTTAATCCTCTGAGCTATCTGGCTGGCCCTGAGGTTCTTTCTTTGTACAGGCCATTTTTGTAAAAGGAAGACTTGGCAGGAGGGAAGCCCCTCTCTAGTCAAAGCATGGACTGACAGTGGCATCTAGTGGCTCCAGCTGAAGGCTGAGGGGTGGGAGCCCCGTCCTCCTGCCCACCCCCACCTCTGGGCCATGCTGTCATATGCCTGCAGCAGCAAGCTCAGCAAGGGCACTGCCTGCCCCTGCCTTCCATCTCCTGGGCTGCCTCCAAAATGCCTGCCTTAGGTTGGGTCCCCACCTACCTGACTCTCCCCCAGGACCAGAGCCACTCTTGTCCTAATCCTTCACAGAGGCAGGCTCTGGTATGACAGGGATACCGGGGTCTCCTGAGAGCTGGCTTTGTGTAGGCAGAGAGAAGTGCTACAACCCAGTAAGCGGGAAAAGTCCAAGGGCCAGAGCCAGATAGGACCATCAGGAGTCCGGCTGGGCGTTGCAGCATGTGGGCCTGCGCGGTCCCCTTCTGCCCATGAGACTCTAACACTGAGCAGAGTCAAGAGAACACAGGATTCAGTCCCAGGCTCCCTGAGGCCCAGTGACCCCGTACGGCTGAATCCTGAGGCTCTGGAGCTGTGCCATTGTGACCAGTCACTGTCACCCATTCCTAGGTGGGACCCTCGGAATAAACCTGTCAAGAGCCATTCCCAATGGCCACTTGAGCCAAGCAGTTGTGGGGAAAAATAAATGTAATCCAAAAGAGTAACAGCTTAGTTCCATAAGTCTTGTAGGTCTGAGCATGCCAGAAACCCTGTTTTTCCCATCCAAGGAGGCTTCACCTCCCCCCGCCAGGGTAAGGTGGCCAGGAGGGGACATCTTACTTCATGTTGGATTTTGCTCCTCCAAAGTCCACTCAGGGGCCCCCGGCTGGTGAAGAGTGAGCAGAGACCATAATCTGTCACCCTTTAGTTCCTCACAAAGCTTTGGAAATGAACCAGAGAAACCCCCCCCCCCACCGCAAGAATTCTTGGCTCGGGGGCTTTCTGTCCCTAGTCCACTTTTGTTTTTCCCCAGCCGCCCAGGTCTGCAGCTGAGCCCAGGCCTCAGTAGGCGTGTGCATCCTACTTCCTCTTCTGGAAGTCCCTCATGAATCTGTAGGTTTTCAACATTCAGAGACAGGTGGCAAGAAAGAGCCGTTACTTTCTGTAGTTTAGGGTTCCCCAGCCTGCCAGTCACACAGCCTGTTCCTATCATCCCGGGGAAGCAGGGTTCTGAGGAGCGCGCTGCGGCCCCAGCCCATCTCCTGGGCTCATGGCCTCTGCTCTTTGGGTAATTTTCCACCGAAGGTGATTCCCAGGACGAGGGTGTAAAGGAGCCTGTGACTGACCCAGCCTCCCCCATGCCTCACTGCCTCCCCCCCCCCCACCGCATGTAGCCCTTCCCTGCATGTGGATTGGGGCTCAGACTTGTCCTGTGGACCCCCTGAATATCATTAGAAAGCCTGTCAACTGAGGGCAAGAGCCACAAGTGGGCCTCAAAACATGCAATAAGAAGCCTTGAAAATGATGTGTGAGCCACCACCTGACCTTTCTGACCTCTGCTCACTCTCCCCCCCAGGTGAACCAGGCGCCCCAGGCGTGATCATGACTTCAGGTACGCAGGCCAGGCGTCCTTGCCTCTCCCCGCACCAGTTACCTCAGTGGCCCTTCTCGAGCAGGGTTCTTGGGGCTCCTTTCAAGAGTGCTTTGCGGCACTGTAACCTGGAGCCTGCCGTGGGTGACGTCTTGGGCTTCCTAAAATGCCTTTAAATTATCTTTCTTACGGTTCTGATGCAAAGAACTGGCTCCTTTTTGGTCTGTTTTGAGACAGATTCTCACTACCTCACTTGTAGCTCAGGCTGTCCTTGAACTTGCTTTGTATAGCCAAGGGTGCCTCACACTTGTGGCAGTCCTCCTGCCTCAGCCTCTGAGTGGGGGTTGTAGCCGTGCACCGTGATACCCAGCTTTTGGCTTCACAATGTTAATCTTTTCAGCAACCACATACTTCAAGGTACCAATTTTGCAAGCACTTTCTCTTTGGTGAAACTGCAAACTTTATGCATTTGTCTCTCCTATTTGTTTCTGATTCTCACTATAAATTTGGCCTAAAAGTACCACGTAGTACCCATACCACAGCATGAATGTTGAGCTGCCTTGGAATTTTCCCTGCAAGATTAATTAGTTGGTTGTGCTTGATCTGTCTCTGTCCTATAAAGTCTCGGAACATGGGCAAAACATAGAGAAATCTTCTGCCCAAGCATAATGCATGTCCTCTTGCCTGTTAATGGGGTCTGGTTCTCAGCTGGAACCCCCTAATCTGGACCTTCACCATCTGCAACTCTGTCATCGTTCTGGCTTTCTGAGCTCTTAGAAGAATCTCCCACCAAGCTTTGCTCAGTGTTCCCTGGGTCACTGGCCCCACTCTGACGTGATACTTTCCAAGCAGCAGCAGCCAGAGGCGTAGTGCTGAGGACAGGGCACCATGCTCAGTTCTCTGGGCCTGCAGCTGGGATGGAGGACACGCAAAGGCAGTGGGAAACCCAGGCCTCAGCCCACCCTGCGGGGGACAGCAGTGCACCGCAGCCATGGACTGGGCTCAGCGCTCCCTGTGCTTTCTCCCTCCAGAAGGCTCCTCCATGGTCACCGTCCCAGGCCCCCCAGGGCCTCCTGGCGCCGTGGGACCTCCGGGGCCTCCGGGTTCCCCAGGTCAGTGTGCTTTCTTACTTTGGCCTAGTGATCAGGAGCCCTGGGCGTATTTGCCTCGAGCTGTGTTTGCTCAGATCCTGAGGCAGGAACCCAGGAACAGAAGCAAGGGGGACCTAGAAAGCTGAGCTCATTTCCAGGAGAGGAGGAGGGAAAGTTAGCTCCCAAAGAGGGCAGGTGACTTGCCTAAAGTCACCCGGGCACTCGGCACAGGCCAGAGATCGAATCCCAATCACGGAGCATCCAGTGCTGGAGACCTGTCAGAGCACGAGGACTTCGAGGGCAACAATTTCAAAAGGGTCTCAAGGGCAACTCAAATGCTTGTTGTCTACTAGAGAAACACATCGCACAGCACCATGGGTGGTTCCAAAACTATGAGGACTTTGGGCCACGGTTGTTAAGAGATTGTATTTGTAGCTAAACGTGCAAGAGGTCAGTGACCAGTGCTTTTGTGTCCCAGCTGTAGTTTTATAAGATACAAAAGGAAAAATAAGATGATGGGAGGAAACAAAATGCTCAGAGGGTGAAGAATTAGGACTTGCGCTTCTTTCTCCAAAATGCCTATTATTTTGTCTATGTGGTTGGGGCTGGGGATGTGCCTCAGTGCTAGAACTTGCCGTGTGAGACCCTCGGCTCTCTCCTCAGGGCCAAGAATAGTAAATTAAACCTCTGTGAAGTACGTAACCTAACACAACCAAAGCGAGTTCACACCAGCCTTCTTTCCTGACAAACTCCCGTGAGGGCGGCCGCAGGGGCAGGCAGAAGTCTCTAAGCAGTGAAGGACAGCCTAGACAGGAGCGCCTGCTGCCCCAGGGGCCCAGGACCAGCTGGAGATTTCCAAACTGCTGCTCTGCAATTGCTTATGTTTCTCAGCAGGAGCAAGCTGACTCCCACATCTCAGGAAGGGTTCCATGTGTACCCTACACCCCCTTTCTTCAGCCCTGCTTGTGCCCCCAGAGTTGTGATTAGCTTTTCTTCTGCAGGACTGTTTCCAGGCCCTGCCAGCCCTGTGTATCTCCCAATGTCATACCATGAGAAAACACAGGGGACTCTCCTAGGCAGACTTGGCTGTCTGTACTTTAGCTCAAGAGGCAGATGTGTGTTTCAGAAAGGGGCAGGAAGGGGCCACCTCCTCTTACCCCCTTCTATATTTCTGGGAGGGTCAAGGTCCTTGGGACAAGGGGATTCTTGACCCTTGGACAAGATCAAACTCAGCTATCTTCATAAGCCTCTTGTGACCAGACTGTGATAATCAGTTTTATCTAAATATAAAAAACCAGCCAGGTCCTAGGAAAAGCCATGGAGTTTCAGCTGCAGACGGAAGTGACCACTGTCCAGGGGCCCCGCCCCTCCTTGGCTCCGTCCTCCTTGAACCGGCCCCTCGCTGCGCCTGGCCTCTCCTGAGGCACTGTTCTTCCTAACCCTGTCTCCCCACAGGCCCTAGAGGGGAGCCAGGACTTGCTAGTGAGTTGTCTGTGGGCACCGGCACCTCCATCTCCGAGATCATCTCCTCCCGTGAGTGCCACCGTTCTCTGGAGTGGTGATGGCGCGGGTGGGGAGGGAAGACGTCAGCGCGCTGGGCTTCTCTGCAGCTGTGGCACGGTCGTCCTGAGGGCTCTGTGTGAGGAGGACCCGCTCCAGCCAGGGCATGACAGCTGTAAGAGCAGCAGGGCTTGTGTGGCAGCTGGGGACAGGATGGCTATCAGGAGGCTTGGAGTCCCGGGAGGACCAGGGTCGGGCCAGGTCTTGGATTGCAGCTGGCAGAGAGAGGGCGTCTCCCACACGAAGGGCAAGGGCACGGGTGCCTGGCCCCAGTCTGACCTACAAGGAGTGGGTCCTGCACCCTCTTGTCCACAAAGCCCTTTCAAGAGCCCAGGTGGCCTGGGTCTGGTGGCAAGGTCTGTAATCCCAGCTGCTTTGGAGACTGAGGCAGAGGGAGCACAACACAGGGGATTGCAAGTTTACAGCCAGCCAGCGCAACTCAGTGAGAGCTATCTCAAAAAAAACCAGGCTGGCTGGGTGTGGTGTCACCAGGGCGTGGTGTCACCTGTAAGCCCAGCACCTGGGAGGCGGAGGTAGGATTGGCATGAGACCCTGTCTCAAAACACCAGAACAAAGAAACAATTATAAAGGTTAGCGAAGCAGCCCACTAGGGGAAGGTTTTCCTAGCATTTCCTGGATTTCATCTGCAGCGTGACCAAAAGAAAAAAAAAGGCTCGGCAGAGCTGCCAGGACCCTGGAGTGCTGAGCAGGCGGGGGCCAGCGCTATGCTGGAAGCCTAGCATTCGGTGGCTGGGATGTCACAGCAGCCCAGGACGTAGGTTTCAGGGAGCCCGGGTTACAGAGGAGGAAAGTGAGGTCAAAAGAGCTTGAGAACTTGGATGAGCCCTCTGCTGGACGTGCAGGAGCAGGGACTTAAGCCCTAGCTGCCCCTAAAGCCGATCTCTTACCCACCATGCCACACCCCACACGGCACTGGACTGCTGCCCCGTCTGCCTCTGAAGCAGGGGCACTATTAGCCTCAGAATCCTGGAAGCTCCTGTGCCCAGGCTTTTGGTTTGAGTGCACCTCAGGGTGTCTGAGACCAACAATCCGAGTGAAAGATAAGGAGCCTGCTGCGGAGAAAACCCCTGCAGAACCCTCTCTCATTTCTGCTTGCTTCTCTCTACAGAAGGCTTTGACCTACGAGGCCCACCAGGCCCGCCAGGACCCCAGGGACCACCAGGTGAGCATCTCAGGGGCTGTTAGTGTGGGGATCTGGGGGGCTGAGGCCTTGGGCACTGAGGCAGCAAGCCCAGCTATCTTGGGTGTGTCCGCCCCTGAGCTCAGCACACCCCCTTGCACACTCTCTCTGGCAGGGCCAGCAGTTCCAGGCCCCCCAGGCCCCCGAGGCCCACCAGGTGAGACAACTGCCCACTACAGATGGGAGATGGGAGACAAGGGGACCCAGAGCCATTGGAGGAAAGAGAAGCCCGCTTCTGGGGGGAAGGCTTCTGGGTACCTCTCAGCACTAAGGAGTCGTGGGGCTTCTCTCCTTCAGGGCAAGGCTTGCCAGGCCCTCCAGGTCCCCCGGGATCTCTCCTGACCGCCTCAGGTAACACCTCGGCCTTGAGTCACTCTAACACTCTCCTGGCCCAGCACTTCCTCTGACTCTCCACTGGGCCTGCCGCTGCCCGCGAGGAGATGAATCACCCCAGCCCAACTTGGGGGAGCTTCTGGAGTGACTGGGGAGGCCAGGGGCTGTCTTTGGGGAGCCAAGGTCTAATAAAGTAGACAGAACACAGGCCCATCAGATAAGCATCAGCAGAATGTAGAGACTTATAGAAATAACTCCAGAGCAAATATTGGGCCAGAACTTGTCACCTGGGGAAGGTTCTTCCATCCATCCACCCACCTACCTACCCACCCACCCATCCACCCTCCCACCCATCCATCCATCCATCCAT